CTCGGAGGACGAAGTTTGGGGTGTGGGTATGGGATGAGTGAGTGAGTGGGAGGAAAATCTGGTATGAGGAGGAAGGGTGTTTTGTTAGTCGTTGCCGGGATCGATCGGAAAAGGGGCGCTCGTCGTCGGCGAACACCGCCGCCATTCTGGACTTCGCCTCCGTTGTTTGTTGTCTTCGTCGGGGAAGTAGGGTTCAAAGGGAAGAAGCTGTCGAAGGAAAGGAAAAATGAAAAGGAAGAGAGAGAGAGAGAGGGATGCTGATCTGTTCGACTTATCCTGTTAAAAAAAAATCCACGTGGAAAATACTTACCGGACGAAAATCGCCACATCGGATTATCCGTTAATCCAGTCAGCACCGTAAGTCATGCCGTCAAAGAATTTGACGAAAATGGCTATATTTGGTATTTCGTCAAAAGTGGCTATATTTGGCATAATCGTCAAAGTTTTGGCTATACAAGTAGGGGTGGCTATACGGTCCAGTCCGGTTAAATTGGCCCAAATTGATCCGGTCCAGTCCGGTCTTTTTGAAAATATAAGGACCGAAGATTGGATTGGATACAGTCCGGTCTTGATCCGGTCCGGTTTTGATCCGGTCCGATCCCAATTCGGTCTTGATTTTACATTGAGATTGTGGGATTTGAGTGGCCTAAGGCCTTAAAGGGTGAGGACTTGGTTAAGTTTTGTACTAAGTGCAAAGGTTTGTGACCGTTTATGCAAATTACCCTTAAGTTTTGGGTGTTGAGCTCTCTTATCCGGTCTTTATCCGGTTTTTTACCTCAAATCTAAGCCCAAAGATTGGATTGGATTGTTTACTATTCGGTCCCGGTCCGGTCTCGGTCCGGGTTATACGGTCCGGTTTCTGGTTTTTAATCCGGTCCCGGTCAAAATAGCCACCCCTATATACAAGTGTATTTTGCCTTAATACTATTCATAAACAATAAGCAAAACCGACTAACAAACTAATAATAATAATAATGATAATGGGCGGTCGAAAATGATAATGCATCAATCCTCCCCCCTTCGAAGAACTTCGTCCTCGAAGTTCGAGCGATGTCTCCACCCGGTTCAATGAGGAAGAAGCTTCCCCGCTGCTTGTGATGAACGACGGTGAGAGTTAGACACCAGAGCCTACGCTTTCGATATTTCCAGTTCAGCTTCAACACCCAATCCAATCCTCCAATATCCGGGCCGATACAGCCGCAAACTGAACAACTGTTCTCCGTGATCGCTTGGCGGTCACCGCCTTCCAGGGATTTTTTCCTCGATTTCCAATTGGGTTGCAGCAGCCCAACCAGTCTTGTGTTAGCGGCACTAGTACTTGCACCAACGTCGACCACAGCAGCCGGGACCTCCTGCAACGTTAACCACGACGGTGATGACGGGGCAACCAGAAGCTTCTCGACAGCGGCGGATTCCTGTTGCTTTGACGGCGGTAGTGGCCGAACAGAAGCCACGACCGACGTTGGCAGCGCAGTCAGTATGACATCCCAAGCAGCAGCTCCGCGTCTTTTCTTCCTCTTCTTCCTTCGAGGGAAACGCCTCCCCCTTTCAAGACGGATGGCGGAAACGTGTGAAGCTGCATCTACCAAGCCATGACTAGCGAATGATAGGTCGGCCGGTACCTCTAGCTTGGGGCATGAGAAGGCGGCCTCCTCTTCTGCAATTGTCGCTGGTGGAGGCGCTGGGGCTAGCTTATCGTCAGCAACAACTTCAAGATTGAAGTCTTCCTTGGCGGCCATGGTTGACGTTGACGTGGTCTTCACCGAGTTCCCTTGGTGATTCCATCAGTCCTGCTCTCGGTGGGCCCTTCCAAAGTCCATAACCCTCTTCATGGGAGAGCCCTACAAATTAACCTCGACCTCTTCATTCATGAAACTCACGATCGACTTGTCCCAATATATCCATGCGAACCTTAGTTGTTGGAACCACTGCACACCGAGGACGATTGTAGTTCCGCAATCTGGAAATTCATACAAGTCCACATAGAATTGTATCCCATGTATGTCAATATGGACGGCCTCGTAAAATCGGTCACATACAAAGATTTCCCCAGTTCATACCTTGACTTTGAATGGAGAGATTGGTTTAGCTTGCAAGCCTAAACCCTTAGCGATGCTGGTATTGATGAAATTGTGGGTCGAAAATCTATCGCCAAGGACAGCCATAGGTTCTTTATGGATGGTGGCGTCAAGACGAATGATGGCGGCATTGTAAACTCCCCTAAGACCCGTGACTGAGATCTCGGCGTCAGGCGGTTCGTGGATCTCGAATGGCGAAGCTACAGTTAGCTTCTTCGCTGGTGGCGCCTCGGTAGGAGATCCATCCACCTTGTTGCTGCGGATCGTGGTTGCGCGCAGGACCTCTTCCCGACGTTGGTGGTTGAACATGTCTGCCCTGGGAGCTGCGTAGAGCTCAGTTTCGTCGAACAGGGCTCTGATACCAATTGATGGACGATCGTTTCGTCCATCGCGTAATCATACGAACTAAAACTAAAATAAACTGAAATACTGATTTATTCTTCTTTGCCTGATTAAAACGTAGGAACAAAGTACATATTTATAGTAGAACCGGAAAACCTAACCACTTACCAATCCTACAAGGATGTGGTAACTTAACCCTAAAGAAACTACCTTAAATATTTTAATAATGAATACTATTCATAAACAATAACCAAAACCGACTAACAAACTAATAATAATAATGGGCGGTCGAAAATGATAATGCATCACGGGCCTACAGCATAGAATCGAAATCTGCAAAACTGCTAAATAATACGCCTAGTAGGGGTGTAAGTTTGACCCTAAAACCCACTAACCCGTCCCTGAGGGTCGAGACGGGCAGTTTGTCTATAGGGTTAGTTTAGGGACAGGTAAGCTTTTGAACCTATAAGGGTCGGGACGGGTCGGGACAACTTAGGGACGGGTCACTTTTTGACCCTTGACCCTTAGCAACAACAAATATCCCATACCACATTGGACTTCTTTGTAAAAGTTTTCAAAGTTTAGGTACTAAATTGCAAAAATAAAAAATTTTGAGTACCAAAATGTAATTTTACCAACAAAATTTAAGGACTTATTTGTAAAAAAATAAATTTTAGATACTAAATTGTAAGAAAAAAATTTTGGGTACCAAAAAATAATTTTTAAAAAAAGTAGTGTGTAAATTAGGGTCGACCAACTGACTCGGCCCGTCTCGACCCGTCCCATCCCTTAAGAGTCTGATAGGGTAAAGAAGGAAACAGAGACGAGACGGGACCGTTATACATCTTGACCCTTAAGAACGGGTCAAACAGGTCAGGGCAATGTTCAGCCCTAACGCCTACACATGGACGCCCTCCGCAGTAGACTTCCAAAACAAGAAAAAAGAGCGTGCACATGATGCCAACCTGCCGGACAAAAACCATGAATCGGCAGAGCTCTCTGTCTCTCTAACATATGCAGCTGTTGATTACCTCTGCATTTAACTTTTTATTGGCTACAAAGCACACGTGTATATGATTAACAACAACATAAGACAAACCACAAAATGATGGAAAGTCAAACGCTTTGATATATATATGTATATACATGCGTTTCCTGACTCGGTCAATCAGGAAAATTGCCGGCATGTATATATATATATATAGTATACAGCATGCAAAGATATGTGGACTGGCTGTAATTGTACGGCGTGATGATGATGATGATGATGATTACTCCTAAACTCTGCAGCCTTCTGGTGGGACTTCTGGTGCTGGCTGTCGGAGTCCAGTCAGCTTGTTCATGTCGGCTTCTTCTTCGAACTCTCCCAGACCCAGTTGCAGGTCAGCCTTCTGGTTATTCGCAACTTTCCACCCAGCCACCGGCCACTAATCCATATGTCAACATTCGCCCCAGCTTCTCACCGCCGGCGAGGCATGGATGATCGCCAATAAGAGGTGGCCGGCCGGGTGGAACGTTCCTTGATCTCTTCACCCCTTGGTGCAAATTAAGAAGGGGATGATATTGTTGTGCGGGTGGGTGAGAATAGTGGATAAATTAGTCTCAGAAAGTTGGTTACCGTAATTTTGGAGATTCAATTTACATGAGAACTTCACTACAAGAAAACAATTGTTTAGTGTCGGTTATTTTATCTATTTAGTATCGGTTTTAACCGACACTTAAACAATTTGTGTCAGTTCACTTAACCAACACGAAAACGTCCGACACTAAACCGATTTGTGTCGGTTTTGCCTAACCGCTGGAATAACCGTCATTAATCAAATTTGTGTCGGTTAAATAACCGACGCGAATCATACGATTTTCTAGTACAATGTATTCACTTTTTTCACTCTCGTTTGCTGCAACCAACAAATATATGTCATTTTATACTTTTTTAAACAGTTGAAAAGAGTGAAGATAATGAGATGCGTCCATTTCATTTGACCCTTAGCTTAGAGAGCTTGTAGCTTATTAGATATTCAATTAGCTCATGACCGACACATGACCGCCAAAAAGAATGTATGTGAAGCAACTTATAAGTTAGGGTGTTTGAAATAACGTTAAAATTTGGGATCCTGATCTACTCACATTCTCACTAGATCGTACAATTTATTTCACAAAAGAAAATTGTTGCTAAGAATCGAAGAACTTTTCCTTATTTTTTTTTCATGAATCTCCTTTATTTTTCTGTTTATTAAAATAATAAGAGCAACAATTTTTCTATTTCTGACCGTTCATAAAATCTATATTTTTCATGATTTTCCAGGAAAAAAAAGAGAGAAACTTTCCATCCGTTAGAATTTAGAAAGGTACAAATATCAAAACCTTGTTGACTTTTCAACATGGTAATTGGTAATGTTGGGTTCAGCTCCGCAATATCATCTCAGCAATCAACCTCAACGGGAAGCAATTCTGCCGTATCAATAAATTGGTGCTCAAAGATGGAAGGTGGCAAATTCAAAGGAAACCAAAGAAGGAAGGCTCAAACGGCTACTTCTAGTAGATGTGTCTATATAAGTCCAAGATCAAGAGGAATAGGCAGACTTCTCCACTACAACGAATTGAGAGTACTAAAAGTGTTGTACGAGTTGTTCGTAAGTGATAAGTCAGCACAAAAATAAGTGAGGTTTCCGTGTTCTAATATAGGGATTATATCAGGGTGATTCTATTGGCGGGTTAGCTGATAGGGGTTAACAAGGGTTCGTCGATCAAGCCAAGAGGTTGATTGAACGAAGGGTCGTATTTTATTTCGTGTAAGAGCTTCAAGAACAAATCACTAGTGAATCGTCAGAGATCGCAAGAGAGCGATACTCTGACCGTGGATTAGTCGGTGTTAGGGTTGTTAATCACCAAGCACCGGATACCACGTAAAAATTCGGTGCCAGTGTTTATTTCTTCTCTTGCTCTGCTTAGTTTTGCCTCTGTGTTCCTGGAGTGTTCTTCGTTCTGGGTGTGTGTTCATCTTGCACGGCCTCTTTGATCCGAAACAAAACCAAAGAAGAAGGAGTGCAGCGGGTAAGTGAAACGCGGCGTAGAGAGGAGAAGTGGGCCAAGTTTTTATCACAACAGCAAATTGAGCCCAAGTCACAATAAAACCAAAACGTCTCTAACTTGCTGCCGTTTCGCAAAGGAAGTCGAATTCCTTGTTCCTTACGTCATTCTCTGTTTTCTCTCCATCTTTCTCACCTGTTCTTGTCAAAAGGTGCAATTAGGGTTGTGCAGGTGATCGATTGATTGATCAAAGAAAGGGATAAAACCGAAATCGTCTCGTGCTCGACGCCTTCTACACGTGGTATCAGAGCCCGACTCCATCGATTAAGGTCCTACGATCTCCGTAGAAGAAGAAATGGCGTCGGGATTCGGAAACGGAGCAGTGTTGTATCTCGTCGATGGGTTTTTGCAAAATCGCCCACCAAGATTCGAGGGTATTAATTATGGCTACTGGAAGAATCGCATGGAGATTTTCATCGGATCAACTGACCCAAAGATTTGGGATAGAGTTCTCGATGGTCGACTCGAGGTGAAAGCCGATCGAAGCAAGTGGACGGATGAGGATCGAGATAAGCATAAGCAAAACTGCAAAGCTATGAATCTCATGTACTGTGCTTTGGGTCCAGAGGAATACCACAACGTTTCAGGTTGCAGGACTGCGAAGGAAATCTGGGATAAACTTCAGGTCACGTACGAAGGTACCTCTCAAGTCAAAATCTCATGGATTAATAGTTCGAAAACAGAGTGTGAACTGCTTAAAATGATAGAAGGAGAAACCATTAGACAAATGTATGAAAGGTTTACAACTATGGTGAATAGCCTAGAAAACATGGGTATTTCATACGAAAGCGGTGATCTTGTACGGAAGTTGCTTTGGTCTCTGCCAAAGCGATGGGAAGCAAAAGTCACCGCAATAGAGGAGGCTAAAGACCTTAGCAAGCTTCCAGTGGACGAGCTAATTGGATCGCTCACTACATAAAAAGAGAAGATTAAAAGGGAGACAAGAGATGATCAAAAGAAGGAGAATCGAAGCATAGCATTTAGAACTCAAGTTTATGAGGAAGATTCGGACAACTATGAAGACATGGATGATGATGAACTTGTTATGCTTAGAAAGCACATAAGTCAGCTCATGAGGATGCGGAAGGAAAGAATACGTGGCCAGGATCACAAGGACCATTGTGCATCCAAGATCACAAGGAATCAGGTTGAATGCTACTATTGCCATAAAGTTGGTCATGTCATTAGACATTGCAGAAAAAGTATAAACTCTGAGAATCGGAAGAAGTATTTAGTGATCTAAATGTCAACGTGTTTAAATCTTTTGATGGCTCAAAGAAAATCATACCCAAGAAAGTCTGGGTATGAAAAACAAGTTTACTATTAATGATGCAGACTTGTCTTCAAGTGAGCATGAAGGCAAACTCTTGGATACTCGACAGTGGATGCTCACATCACATGACGGAAAACAGAAACTTATTTTCAAAGTTTAAGGAATGTAGGGAAGGTAAGGTTTTCTTTGGGAATAACAACTCTACATAAATTCTAGGTTTAGGAGAGGTGGGATCTGGTCCTAGCATTTCGAATGTCATGCTAGTTAACAATCTCAAGCATAATATGCTCTTGGTCAATCAGCTTGTAGATTAGGCAACAAGGTCGTTTTTTAAACAAATTTTTGCTACAAAGAAATTGTGTTTCAAGCTCTGATTATCGGTGTAGATGCGAATCTTCTGGCCAATCAAATAGGGTCTCCACATCTATACTGCTTTTGTAATAGCATGCATCTCCTTCTGGTATGTCGACCAAGCCTCCTTGGATGGAGGAAGAGTACGGCTCATGAAAGCAATGGGATGCTTCTCCTGTGATAGTACTGCTCCAATACCCGGCCTGATGCGTCTGTCTCAATGTCAAATGGCTGGGAAAAATCTGGTAATGCCAATATGGGTGGTCGTGGATAGGCCCACCTTGAGCGCGCCGAAAGCTCTCACGGCCTCTGGTGTCCAACTGAACCATCCCTTCTTCAGCAGCGCATTAAGCGGCCCGACTATCGAACTGTATCCCTACACAAAGCGCCGATAATACCCGGTCAATCTAAGGAAACTGCTCAACGCCGTTGCAGTCCTCGGCACTGGCTAGTCCATCATGGACTGGATCTTCGTCGGATCCACTCTAACTCCTTCCCTTGAGATCACATGCCCCAGATAGTCCACCTCCTGCACTCCAAAGGCACATTTGGATGCCTTCACATAGAACTGATTCTTCTGAAATATCTCGAACACATCCTGCAACTGCTGCAGGTGCTCTTCCCATGATTTACTGAAAACCAGGATGTCATCGAAGAATACCAACATTGACCTGCGTAAAAGAGGCCGGAATATGTCGTTCATGGCTTCCTGAAACGTCGAGGGCGCATTGCAGAGTCCGAAAGGCATCACGAGGTACTCGTAATGGCCACTATGTGTCCGGAAAGCAGTCTTCGGAATGTCCTCCTCATGCATGCGTATCTTATTGTATCTTGCTCGCAGAAGTATTGTGGGCCCCATAATTCGTCTAGCATTGACTGTCGGAATCGGGAATCGATCACGAACTGTCACTGCATTTAGGGATCGGTAGTCAGTACAGAATCTCCACGTGTCGTCCTTCTTCTTAATCAACAACACCGGCGACGAAAATGGAATGGAACTCGGTTGAATCAGCCCGACGGTCATCATCTCGGCCACTTGGTGTTCGATCTCTTCCTTCTGGGCATGTGCATACCTGTACGGTCGAACGTTAACCGCCTCGGTTCCTTCCTTAAGCCGAATCTGATGGTCAACCTGGCGTTTCGGGGGTAACTGGGTCGGCTGAACAAATAGACCAGCTTATCGATCCAACAGCAACTGCAGGTATGGTGCTCGGGGCTGGCCACCGTCGAACTCCATCGGCCAGCAAAGTACGGGCAGCTCTAGGTCTTCCTCGAGTTGCGGATCACCCCACTCAATGGGCCCTGTCGTCGTGGTCATGCCTTGCAGCTCCCAATCCTTGTCTCTCCACTTAAACTTCATCACCATCTTCACCCAGTCGCTAGTCACCGGTCCCAAACTTTTAAGCCAAGGCATCCCCAGGATCATGTCAAATCCGTGCAATGGCAGTATGTATAGATCGAGAGGGACCTGCAGCCCATGAATCTTCACGAGAACCCCTACCAGCTTCTCTGCACACCATAGTGATCCACCATTGGCTACCTTCACATCGAAGGAATCGATGGTCGGCCGTGGGAGGTTCAGTCGCTTCACAAACTCCTCGCCAACGAAATTGAGAGAAGCCCTGCTGTCCACGAGGACCAATCCTCACTCCTCCCCGACCTTCGCCTTGAACCTCATCGTCGCCGACCCAGCCGTCTCAACTACCGCAACAGCGGAGATGGTTTCTCAGACAGCGCTGCTCGGCGCCCTCCGCTCCGTCGCCTTTGCCTCCTCCCTCTCCGGCGCGGTGGCGATCAGAGGAACCCGGCCCTCGGCCAGCGCATTCTCCTCGTCGACCGTCACCCGCAGTTCTGCCTCCACGCGCTCCATCCGCGCCAGCACGCCCAGCAGGCGATCAGCAACCCGCGCCCCTCGTTCCCTGCCGGAGCTCCTTGCAGAATCATGTCGAACAAGGCTCTGATACCAATTGTGAAGAACACAGTGGTTATGAACAAGAATTAGGGATGAGAATAGGAGAATTAGGGTTGAGAATTGGGAATTGAAGAGAGATTACGGATTTCATAATTCTGATATGATTCTTCGTTAAACCAAAATAGCAAACAACTAACGTTTAAATAGAGCTCTCCTCCAATCACTGACAATGACCAAAATACCCTTCCCTAGGTCGATTCGGCCCCTGCCGTGTCGCTCACAGAGACTCATGTGGTTCTCCTCTGTTGGTATCTGATTTCCATCATCTTGGAATTGTTGACCCCTACATTGCTGAGCTGCTTGCGGTCCGAGATGCGCTTTCCATTGCAATGATCGTCAGATTCCTAGGGTGGTGATTGAAGGCGACTCAGAGGTGGTCATCTGCCAGATTCAAAAGGGGTTCTCGTCATATGTCTTGAGTGGTCTTGTTCTCTGAGATTGGCTTCATTTGGCCATGGACTTCCCTATTTGTGTAGAGTTTATGGCGGTTCCTCGTGTTGTCAATTGGGTTGCGCCCATAGAATGACATGTAAAGCCCTCTGTGTTAAGAGTTTGTAATTTTTGATTTTTCTGCTTGTCTTTTATCTTAGTTGGAGGAGTTGGTGGATTTTTAGGGGTGGGGTTTATTTATTCTCTGTTTTTTGTCTATTGACATTTCTCGGTTAAAAAAAATATTACCTCTGAACAACATAGTTTTCAAGTGCGAGAACACTAATCTCAATTAAAGGAGTGCCACTTAGCCTTGGAGATTCCATAATGGTTTTCATGTCGGTGGCATACCACCCGGTTGAACCTGGTTTAACCTGTGTCGGTCATTAAACCGGCATGACACCACCGATATGACCGGTATGATCGACTTACGCATTCTAAGTTTAATGACATCATTTTCATGAATTTAATGAATAAAAAGATTAATTTATTATTCATTTTATGAATATAATAGTTAAAAGTTGATGATATTTGTTGGATTGTAACTAAATTGTTCACAAATATGTTTTATATATGATTAAATACATTAGATACTAATTGTTTTCTGTTATGAAAATATTATTATCATTATGGATGACCAACATTAGATGCTCCATGGTATGTTACAAGTTCTATGTAACTCATCTCCTTATATTTATTTCTTCATATGACACATTAGATGCACAATTGGGAGTTACATGTAACCCCCCACCCCATTTCTATTTCACATTCATTCTCACATTCATGTATATTGATTGTAAGAATGTAGAGGTTATGTGATGTGTGCCTATAAATAGATGATCTCCTTGTACTAAGGAATACATGAATAAGAAAGCTCTATTCCCCCACTCTTCTTGTGTCTCTACTCTTACTCTTATGTCTATTGCTCTTCCTTGCTATTTTATAACACGTTATCAGCACGAGTTACCAACCAACAACGGAACACAGACTTGCTACGAAAATACACGTAACAAATGGTGGAGGGAAAGAAAAACTCCCTTCATGGTGATCAAATATATCACACATAATACTTCCACTTAGCCACCCATGCCATACATCGGGTCCCCAATTCCTTTCTGAGAAAGCGAAAAAACATAAAGAGACACCAGCCCACTATCACGAACAGAGAAGACAAAGAAGTCCAGAAAACTAGGGAAACCACAAAATAATCAATTCTCTTCCCTGGTCAGATCCGGATATCAGTCAGTTCTCTCAACAGACCAGGGCCAAATCATCAAGATTCAAAAGCCAGAAAAGGAGAACCATTAAGCCAGACCACCATTGAAATCTAATGATCTCTAACAAGGACAAAGATATAGCTTCAGCCCTCGCTGAAGTCAATGAGCCATTGTATCCATCTGTTCAGAATTAGAATTAGCCAAGAATCACGGTCTCGTTCGGCATAGGAACAATAACCTAATCAAATACGAAGATAAGGAAGAGAAAAGAACTAGTAAGGCAGAGTTCCCGAATCCTCAAGAGTGAGCCTTCGGACCTTATCACAGAACTATTTAAAAATCCTCGAGAAAGGAAGGAGCTATAAATTAAGATGGTAAACTCGAGGATAAAATAGCTCTAGAAGAGTCAAGTCATAAATTTGAGATCATAGTTCCAGAAGAATAGTAGGTACCTGAACGTTTTAAAATGAAGAGATCTCAATTAATTGGCTTGTATGAAAAAAGTTGGAACCGAAGTGTATTTATTGTCGACAAGGGTTTTGATTATGCTGTAGCACTGAACGTGATAGATACAAAGATGATCAAAAGTAAAAGTCCATTGATGCGTGCAAAGGAATATATATTGGCCAATATAAAAGAAAGCATTAGGCTATTTGGTATAAGTTTTGGACCAGAAGTCCTTACACCTGAAGATGTAAAACTAACGGGATACAAATAGGTTTTGTGCAAATGCGTATGGAAATTGCGAGAGATATAATACAATTTCTCATGAGAGGTTTCTGGTAGAAACCTGTCATCAATTATGAAGAGACATACTCTCTTGTGGTGGATGCAACTATGTTGTGCAGTTTAAATAGTTTGGCAGTTCAAAAAGCATGAAATTTGCATTTGGTAGATATTGTGATAGCCTATTTGTATGGATCCCTTGATAATGATATTTATAAGAAAATCCCTGAAGGATTAGTTTGTCGGAAGCAAACATGTGACGTTCTCGAAAACAATATCGATCGATAAAACAATCCTTTGTATGGATTGAGATAAAATGGATGAATATGGTATATTCATCTAAGTGAATATCTACTAAAGGAAGTGGTCGAATAAGCCTTGCGTGATTAAATTCGAATAAAGTGCATTAGAGCATTTGTATTTGGCATGTGTGATTGTGTAATGACATATAGGCTTATGTGCGTGATATTGTGATTTTAATTATGAGTTTGATTTATGAATGTGGTTTGGTTAAGTGATGTTGTGTGTATGACGTGCCTTTTGCTTGTGACCTTGTGTTATGAAGTAATTGTTTGCATACAATTGTGTTAGCTAAGTTTTATAGTTATTTGGAAGAAAAGAGTCAAGACATTATTTTATAATGATCTCATATGTTTTAGTTGATATGAACTCCAGAAGAGATTCGTAAAGCATGGTTTGCTTAAAAGAAAATTGAACACGGAGGATTTAAGAAGATTCTTTTTGGATCAAGACGACAATGTCGGAAAAGTGAAAGAACAATTTTTGTATGGAAAAAATTGCATACGTTCAACAGCCAATGATCATAAGGTCACTAGAAGTGAACAAAGATCAATTTAGGCCTTGAGATAGAAGCGAGTTATTAGGTCCTGAAGTACCATATGCCAATGTCGTTAGAGAAAAAAAATGTATATTGCTATACTTCATTAAGTTATACTTTGTTACCTATTGGTAACGATGAGGATCATAGATGAGTTATTTGTTTACTCATGGTCGTACAAGTATCTCATGGAGATTCCAAAGAAATCACAATAACAACATCATCTGATCATGAACAATGGTCAACAATTCATGAGACTTGTTATGAATTGTTTGGTTAAGATTTGTGATTCAACACGTCTAAATGACTTGTGGTTGCGGATTATATTCATAGAAAATGATCTTGAAGATCATGTATGAAGAAAATGGTCCTAATGGATCATGCATAAAGTGACAATCTAGAAGATTTGTTCACTAAGAAGCTTACCATGACAATATTTGAAAGATTTGTTCACAACACTATTGATGTTGTCATGAGGGGGAGCATATACGCACTGCACTCTTTTTTCCTTAACCATGGTTTTTCCCACTGGGTTTTCCTGGTAAGGTTTTTAACAAGGCAGATTCAAATAGCGTATTATGATGATTATGTACTCTTTTTCCTTCACTAGGATTTTATCCTACAGGGTTTTTCCTAATAAGGTTTTAACGAGGCAAGTTCATGTCTAATGGTCATCCAAGGGGGAGTGTTATGAAAATATTATTATCATTATGGATGACCAACATTAGATGCTCCATGGTATGTTACAAGTTCTATGTAACTCATCTCCTTATATTTATTTCTTCATATGACACATTAGATGCACAATTGGGTGTTACATGTAACCCCCACCCCATTTCTATTTCACATTCATTCTCACATTCATGTATATTGATTGTAAGAATGTAGAGGTTATGTGATGTGTGCCTATAAATAGATGATATCCTTGTACTAAGGAATACATGAATAAGAAAGCTCTATTCCCCCACTCTTCTTGTGTCTCTACTCTTACTCTTATGTCTATTGCTCTTCCTTGCTATTTTATAACATTTTCATATTTTTTTAAACCGGCATGAACCGGCACAAACTGGTTATACCACCGGTCGTACAATTCCACTTGTCAAACCGGCACAACGGTATAAACCGGTTTGACAACCTTGAGTCCATATTATTCAATTATAGTGATTGTGAGTTGTGAGCAATATACCATTGATGACAATATTAATTGTTGTTCAACACACGCGCTTCAGAAACAGTACACTATTTGACCAATTGCTAATCTCGAGAAGGATGAAACACGCAATAATAACCATAAAAAAAATGCATACAATAATCTCATGAAGAATTTCAAAGGTAAGTTCATTTCAGAGATATTTTGCGCAATTTATTTTGCAAACACATGTTAATAATCTGGATAATCGTTCTCTTCATGTACGCTGATCAATGATCATAAAAGCCACAGCAGTGGTAGAGTTTTCACTATCTCCACATTTTCGCCACATTGAGATCAACTGCATTAATTATTAAGTCAATATACCTAAAGTTGGTCGTTAAGTCTAATAATCAATTCAATATTTGAGTCATTTTACATCGCCAAGAATTCAAATTGGTTGTTACAAGATCGAGTCATGTTTCGTTCAAGTTATGAAAATTCATTACAAAATATAAAAAGAGTCTACAAATTTAATCACATAACGACAAAAACTACAAAATTTCGTGTTTTGACACCTTTAATACTAATCATACTACCATGATACGATTGATGACTCGGTATTTGCACATGTTTTCCCCTTTGTTTCTTGATTGTTTGAGCTTGAATTATTGCGTCTTTGGCCTATTTTATGCTAGGTTGTGTTCCTTTGTCCCATTTCAGGTCCTAGCACATAAAGTGAAGCATAGGCGCAAGTTTCAAGTCAATCAGAGATCAATTGACGATTCGAGAGAAGAAACTCGGGCATGACCTGAAGAAGAATGGATTTCTACCTCACTTTATGGACAAAGAATCATGCAAGCTTGTTATGAAACGAAAGAGGACGAGACTACGAGCGTCTGGGATCAAACGGCGATTGATTCGGAGTCCGGACGAGGGAGAAACGAAGCATTAAACAGAGGCTGAGCAAGCTGCACGGGCAGACCAGCGTGGCCACGCACGGCCGTGCAAGTGACCAGTTTGGCCGTGCGGGATTGTGCGTGGGCACGCACGGGCACAAGTGAAATCCGCACGGCCGTGCAACATACAATTCTGGCCGTGCGAGTTGGCTGAGGTTCAACTAATTGATACGCCGCGTTTTGAGGTGCACGGCCAGAATGGTGATGTGCACGGCCGTGCACCCTGGCCGCGCGAGTCGGGATTTCCTGGTTTTAAGCCAAATTCCGAACCAAAGAAAGAGGAGAGCTGGGTTTTGGATCCCAAACACCCAAGGGACGAACCCTAGAGAGAGAGGGCGATTTGAGGGCATTCTTGGAGTAGAGTTGGAGGATTTCTTCGCCTTGGAAGCTCGAGGAACAAGCCCGGACTTGAAGACTGATCATCTGAAGATTCTTACTGCAGTCTCTCTCTTCTCTATGGAGTAACTTCCCTTCACTTAGGTTTTGAGGAACCCTAGCTATGTTTGTTTGATTGGATGATTGTATGAGTACTCTGACTTGATAATCTTGAGTTCATATTCAATCTATGCATGTTTTCATGATTCAATTCTGCTTTAGTCGAGATTATTGATTCTGCTTTGATTCTATGAGAGGGAATACCTGATTAGGTCAATAGAGCACCATAGATTGATAGTAGTGGATCGATTGCTTTAGTCGAGGGTTGATTCACTGCTTTGTATCGATTGAGAACCTCTTTCGATAGAGGGAGTCTAGTTCAGAACGCCTTGATCAGTTGTTCTAGAGAAGGATACGTCCCTCTAGGCAATTGACTCAAGAGGGCCTTGTTCCTTTAGTCGAGACTCAAGGTCTAGTCAAGGATTCTCCGCATTGTGAATGAAAGTGAAACAGGTTAGAGATCATCAATCGTTAATCTGGCTAGTGGCTAGGGGGAATCATACCTAAGTGAGTTCCCAACCTGTAATTAGATTAACTTTAACTGTAGTTTGCTAGAGTAGTTTTAGTTCTTTCATCTTAATCTGATTTGCTAAATAATAAACTGAAGCTGAGTAATAGTAACTCTAGAGACCCGTGGATTCGATATTTATCACTTGAGCCACTATACTGCAGTCCCTTTCATTGGTTACACTTGGCCTTTGTTAGGTGTTGTGTTTTAGCGAGTCATACTAGAGATGGTATAATTCATACAACAAGTTGTAAGCTGTGGGTTTTGTAGATTCTATAGCACGTAAGCATTGTACCGATTTCATTAGTTTAGTTTTATCATGCAAATTTAATGAGTTAGCTGGAATTAATGAATTAGCTTCTCCTCGCTAATTAATAGCGTTGATGTATAAAGAAATGTTATCCATTGGACAAATCGTACATTCGCCCCTGTTACATACTATAAATTTAGATGGATTGGTTGATAGTATGAGATACTCTTTTAAGTCTAAGGTGCAGTAATTATAAACTTAGAATAAGCAAAGTCGGGAACTATTTCTTTAGTTCCAAAACTCTTGTTGAGTTTAATAGCTTTATTTCTCATTGTCATTGGCAATTACTTGTTTAAGTCTAAGGTGCAGTAATTATAAACTTAGAATAAGCAAAGTCGGGAACTATTTCTTTAGTTCCAAAACTCTTGTTGAGTTTAATAGCTTTATTTCTCATTGTCATTGGCAATTACTTGTTTATATTAGAGATATATGGTTCAATTTAATTTATCTATTTGACAGTTACATCCGACCGATATGATATAGTTTTTCAAACGCTATTTACTGGATATAGTTTTTCAAACACTATTTACTGTCTCTATCTCACCATCATTAGCAATTAGTTGGTTGTATAATTTTCCTAAACATGATATCTTTTGTATATAACTTATCTATTTTAATTGGAACATTGTACCAATATTGTTTAGTTTTTATGATTATTAATCTAATTGCCACTAGCATTTGAACCTACTTGGTTTTATCTTCTTTAACTATTAATGTTTAACTAGATTGCTTCAATCTTGATTTAAGGTGGAAGTATAAAAAGTAATTCATTGAGTGAAAGAAATATTTGAGGTTCTGGTGTGGGGTTGACTAGTTCGAGTGTGTTATGCCTACACGAGTGGTTGGTCCGATTTGAATTGGGGTAATTTAATTCGTTATGGGTCACTAGCTATTGACTCGTAGGAATTGAAATATTATTATTTGTCGTCGATTAGTAGTTAAATTGTCTCACTGATGGGTCGACAAGTGGGGATGTAGGGGTTGAGCGCCTGGTTTAAGGATTCATTTGTTAATGTTGTTGGTCATACCATTCAAATTAAATTAATAATTGGTTTGGTAAATTAAAGATCTTCATCTCTCTTAAGTCTTAAGGGGTCATTTGGAAGTCAGTAATTTCAGATGATGTATATTCATCAATACATGTGAAGAAACTTAATCAATTTTTTTTATTTAAAATGAAACACATTACTTGTATTTGAGCATAGTGTGCAACGAACAAAATAATTCATTATGGATGATTGTCACTCAGAAATAAGGGTTGAGATTGTCGATCTCACATTTTTCTCCCTCATTTTTTTGAGAACACCAAAACCACAAGAATTTGAATAATACCTTTTACAACATAAAATACCCTACCATTAATTTTCGGGTCCAATCTCACCTACAATTTTCCAATCCTTGGAAAATCATTCAATCTAAAAAATAACATATTATTCAAATTTAAACACTGAAACAATACATGGAAGACAGAAAATCATTAAAATGCATCAATCCTAATCTTCTCAAATGGGCGTGTGAGGGCAGTTGCTGGTATTCGCAGGGTGCTGGATGATTTTTATAGATGCTCAGGGCTCAAATGTAATCCTGCGAAGAGTCAATTGTTCTGTGCTGGAATCCCTGATGCAGAGAAGGTTTTTATCTCGACCTATACAGGTTTCCCACTTGCCTCTCTCCCTGTTCGCTATCTGGGAGTCCCTTTGATCTCAGGGAAGCTGGGCAAGGCTGATTGTCAGGTGTTGGTTGACAGGATTACTGCTCGCATTAGAGGTTGGCATGCTAAAACCCTAAGCTATGCAGGTAGAATCCAATTGATTTCATCTGTTATCTCCAGCGTCTTGCAGTTTTGGATGAGTGTGTTTACTTTGCCAACATCTGTTTTGGATGATATTGAGAGGATTTGTAATAAGTTCTTATGGGGTGTGGGTGAAGGGAGTGCAAGGCAGAGAGCTCCAGCTGCCTGATCTTTTGCAGTGCTAATGAAGTCTGAAGGTGGGTTGGGAATCAAGGATTTCCGAGTATGGAACAAAGCATGTGTTATAAGACACTTGTGGGCAATACTAGCAAGTAGTGGCTCACTCTGGGTTGCGTGGATCAAAATGTATCGCCTCAAATCCAAGACCATCTGGGATGTATCTGCTACCTCTGTGGGATCTTGGATCTGGAAGCATATTTTGAAGATGAGAGCTGCTGCTAGGTTTTTTATAACGAGTGCTGGTCCTTCTCTCCTCTGGGATGGCAGCCCCATGCCCCGTTATTCTGTTAAACGGGTATGGTTAAGCATCAGGGGGACATTCCCACAGGTACCCTGGGCTGAACTGGTCTGGGGACAGCCCTCCATTCCTAAATATAGTGTGCTGGCTTGGCTTATTGTCTGCAATAGAATCACCACAGCTGATAAGCTTCTGGTGTGGGGTAAGGTAGTTTTTGGTTGCTGTGTCCTCTGTCCAGGGGGGTTTGAGAGTAGAGTTCATCTTTTCTATCAATGTTCCTTCCTCCTTTACATATTGCAGGCTATCTTCTCTATGCATATTCCTTGTTTTGGTGATTGGGATTCCCATCTTACTTGGCCGTCAGGAATGTGGCAGGGAGGATCAAATACTACTCGAGTGGGTAGGTTATTATGGAGGTTGGTTATTGGACATGTGTGGAAGGAGAGATGTCAGCGTTGGTATGGTGAGGGGGGTATTGCTACTCCTAGGCAGGTGGTTCAAAAAATTCGTTATGAGGTGGATTGTTTGGTTACAAGGGCTCCTCTGGATTTTGATAGTTTTTTCATACAGAGTATAGACATTGTATAGAGATTTGAGCTGGTTCCTTTAGTTTGTAATTGAGTACTTTTGAGAGGTCCCCTCATTTTTTGGAGGCCTGGTGCTTAATGATAATTTTTTATTCTCATAAAAAAAATTCCTAACTACCAAAATTATAAGATCCTAGCTACCAAAACATGACTAAATTGATTAATCCCTCTAAAAGACCATCAAAGACAAACTTTGCCCAATTTAAGTTTCCCACGACCTCAATGTTCGCTAAGATCTTCAAATAATTATTAGGAACATAGAGTGAAGTAGAGTCTCAGAAATCTACACACTAAATATAAAACGAATTTCCCACTAAACTCTTCACCGACCGTGAGATCCTTCTCTAAATCTGCTTTTAAACTCGAACACTTTATCTGGCCAGTACCCAAATTGAATCTCACCCCCAAACCACCATCATACTCACCTAGTTGGGTTTTCACATCCATACCGTCTCCACATATTCCCAGTATGGTCACAACATCATGCATACTTAGAGTTAAGCGATTACCATGAACATTCAGTTCACTAGTAGTGACACTGAATCTCGTCATAAGGTCCTCCAAAAGTTTCAACTGCAATTTATGCTTCTTCAAGTGCAAGAGACCACCAAATCCCATATCATGAATTGTCTTATTTTTATCATCACATAAACATTCAATGAGCTCACAAAGTTGTTCTACACCACAACGACTACTCAAATACACCTGCAATTTATTTTTATATGTCACCCATTATTATAAAAAAAATGTACATAACAAATTGCAACCAACATTCAAATAACAGTTTATACCTTTTTCTTTTCAGGACTCGCATGCTCAACTTTGGCTTCACCATTGTCTACTTCATTAAGAGGTTGGAGCATCTTCTTTGTGTTGCTCGCACTAAACACCCAATTTTAAGTTAAGTCAAATTTTCCCATAGCCGAAACATCATGTTATCACTACTAAGAATGAACACTAATTTTATAAAAACAAAAAAAGTGACAAAACATTATATTTGAAATTTGAAACCACTTGCCTTGTCTTTTTCTTTTTCCCATCGTCACACCCCCGGGGAGATTTTTCTTCTACCTTGCTCATATTTCACTACAGACTACACCAAAAAAAAATTATAAAATACTCACTGCAATAAAGAAACATCTGGTTTTTTTCTTTTTCCACTCGAGAGAAGGTAAAAAAAAAAAAAAAAATGAGAGACGCTCTGCTTTCTCTCCTCCGGATCTGCAAACTTGTTGGTCGCCTCCTTGGCACCGTCCTCACCGGCTTATTCTCCACCAGCCTAGCGAATCAAGGGTGGATGGAGCTCACTGAACACAAGCACGATGGGGAGCGACGAAGATCAGGACCAAAGGGACAGGACAGATGAGCAGGATCGGGCCAGAACTGGGGGTGGTTTGTTCCTCCTGGGGAATCGGCAGTATCGAATAAAGGGCATAGGTATCTCCGGCGCATCGTTGATGCGTAAACGAAAACGGAAGTGGGTAAATGGTGAGTCGGAACTCGTGCTCCCAAACACGCCTAAGCGGGTCTGTCCGCGTAAAAAATCGAAAGGTGGATGTAGGTTCTCCCTGCCGTCACCGTTTGAATTCGAAGAGGGAGAAAATTGGGGTATTAATAAAGTTCCGTTGGAATGACAGGGGGTCTCGAAAATGAGTCCAGAGAATTGTATGAAATTTGATCCTCAGTCAATGGATGTCGATGGGGCGGATGCTGCCTCACCTGATTTCTCGGCTGAGAATCCCCCGACGGCGGTTTGCAGCCTTGCGGGGGGCGGAGTTTCGAGCGCACGTACGGCGGAGGAGGGGATATTCTCCCCGATGCTATCGCCGGCGGCCGTTTGGA